TGGCTGCCTGCTTTCTGAAAATGGGAGAACCAAGGAAGTCAATTGAAGCATGCAATAAGGTATATCTTATGCTGTATTTCGCCTGTTGAGCTTATATATTGCTATCATTGTGCTGTTGAAACTAGTTCTCGGTAGCCTAATTTTAAATGTTGGAATTCGGGTGCAAATTATTGCTTCTATGCACCCCTTCTGTATGCATTCATGCTTTATCCTTTTTGATGCAAAAGAACGGTGCTTTTCTCGTTTCAGAAGAATGCAGAAATAATGGTGAGTTTAGAACTAACAACAAGAAAGTCTGAACTCTTTTGTAGTCGAACATTTGAATTTTCTAGGATTCTGATCTGTGATAGGTTTCCTTGCCCTTATTTGGACTTTTTATTTTCGAATTCCATTTTAATCATCGTTTTCTCTCGTTTTGGGGTGGGGAAAGAGGAAAATTTATACGGAAATGTTCGTTTAAATCCATACTGTAGCTGCAAAATCATGCTATTACACTTCCAACTGTCTTTGTTTCACGTTCCATGGCATTCAATAAGAGAGAGAGTAAATGCACAAGCTGCTACTGCATTCTTCATGCTTTAGCAATTTTCCTGTTTCAAAAAAGCTCATATGAGCCGGAATTCCCCATGAACCTTTTCAATTCAGTTGTCCCAGACGTAACAGGTCATGCTTTTCTCTGTGAAGATTGATGCGTGTTTCTATGATATCATACAGGTGTTGGATGCAAATCCTGTTCATGTAAAAGCACTCTACCGCCGTGGAATGGCATACATGTCTGCTGGAGATTTTGAAGAAGCTAGAGAGGATTTCAATAAGGTACTTTACAATTACCTAATTAAGTTTGAGCATGCAATAGGTTACAATTAACTAATTAAGTTTAAGCATGTTTCTAGATGATGACCATCGATAAATCATCCGAGTCAACTGCAAAATCGGCTCTTGTTAGACTCAATAAGGAGGAGCAGGTTGGTTGAATGGAAACAAGTTTGAATTTTGCTTCAAATCTATTGAATTTAACATTTGCCTCCCGCTCATAAAACAGGAAATCCATAGAAGGGCTCGGAAGCAATTTAAGGGACTGTTCGACAAGAAGCCTGGAGAGATTGCAGAGGCTGGAGTAAGCGATACAGGAGATCAAGTTCTTGACGAAACCCACGAGATTGATGATGGGAATGATTTAGATAGTAACGGAAAACCAGCTACTGCTCGAATTCGTTCGCAGAGTAACAATGAGAATGTTCCTCAGGCTAATGCTCAAACTCGTATGGGTTTTTTGTCCGGTTTCTGGCCTAGTGGCAGAAGATATTTCAGCGCCCTTGGATTAGACAGATGTACCATTTTGTGAGTTAGGGTCCGTTTGATTGCAAAAGTGAAAAATGGGTAGAAAAAAAATGTTTTATAGGGAATTGAATTGCCTTGAAATTATTTTACTGAGAATTGTAATTGTGTTTGAGTGGTATAATTTTCCACCTGGAAAATGTTGTGTCCGTTTGGCTTCTTTTTTAGAAAATAGTCCATTAAAGTAATAATTTTTTTAGCATTGGGTTTAGAATTTGTTCTAATTGTCAAAATAATTTTAAAAAAATATCATATCTAATACTATTCATTTGGTTTTATTTTGCATGAAAATTGATTTTCCACAAAACTAAGGAAAACGTGAGCATGTGAATAAAATCAAGAAAGTTTTTTTAATGGAAAAAAAGTGTATCAAATAAGGCAAAAGTGAAAGTTGGAATTTGTTTTTTATTTTTCATGGAAAATAATGGTCTATCAAATAGACTCGTAGTATTTTAGATTCTCTTCATGCGAGCCAAACGAACTTGGATTTAACTTTCGAGGAAAATCACTTGTACCAATGAAATAATGTATGCCATTACGAAAGGGAAAGACTAAGTGCGTGTTTGGGCGCAATTTTTGAGTGAAAAATCAATGATCATGTCAAATCAATCGGGTCCACATGAAGCTTACTCTTGCACAGCTAAATAAAAAAATTGGCATTTAATTCCCAAGTTGTCCTGCTTTTTAAAACATTTCTCTCACCTCAAATAATTGCATTGACCAAATGCATCCTTTGAAATGAGGGGGGTAAATTGGGAATATGGACTATTGTGGCCTGATTTCTTGCCAGATGAACGCGAATAAAAAAAAAGAAGCAACGGTGCCATTTTTGATTTGTAATGGTTAGAATCAAAATTTTCCATGCGCCCAGACACGTCCTAATCGTCAGAGCAGAAATTACCTGGTTTCTTGAGTGAAAGAAATTGGAAGCACTTTCCTTCTGTTTTACTTTTTTATGCTTTGAAATATTACTTGCTTCTGTTGAGGATTTTCTGTTTTTCGATTAATTTATTTGAGAAAACAAAAATAAATAAAACAGACTGCATGGACAAATTCGCTAAGGCTGCAGGACCTCAATTGCCACCTGATTTTTATAATCATCTCATCTTTCATTTATTTAGATCATCGTCTTCATATATTGTATAAAAAAAGAAAGAAAAGAAAAAAAGAAATACAGACAAACTAGAGAAGGACACATACAATATAACTAAACTTTAGGAACGTCGTTCGCAGCCATATAAACCGCCGCAATCGCACGGTGCTTGACGATAAAACGCCCAACGGCGTGGCCAGCCACCGCCACAATGAAAATCCCGACGTTGAAGGACATGACAGAAAGCATGATCGAGTAAGCAAGAGCCATACGAACAGCATAAACAGCCGCCTCAAACAACCCACCACTCAAAGGACTCATCCTTGGCTTTACAGGCACCGTCGCCAAGATTTCAACCGCCACCGCTAGCAAGAACACAAAGGCCAGAGCCAGTATGTACATGCCAAGGCGTCCGTTTGGCCACCCATTAAACAGAACCAACACATCTTTGCCCCAAAAAAAGGTCATGTGCATGGCCATATCATTCACGTTCTTACTATTATTGTACAAGGAATCAGGCGAGATGGGGGTGAGATGGGCATGATCATGAGACATTTTAGGAGAGGAGAAGAGAGAATTTTGTGTGGGAATTACACAGAATTAATGATAATTTTAGAATATTTTGTGGGGGTGTCGATTATTCATATGCTTCTTGGAGAGAATATCAAAGATGCAAAGTAAAGAAAAAATGATGCCATCTTTAAATTTTGGTCCTCCTTATGGAGTTTCGTCGTACTCACTCATACACAGCAAGAAGAGACCAAGACTAGGAGATGGTGACAATTGACAAAACCTGTCAATTATCATTTTGACAAATTTGCACCTACGCTACCCAAACTATACTCGTTTTGTAGTTAGCATTATATCATACAGAAACTCTACTTTCAATTTATCAAGTCAATACGCGTGGAAAACTCTATTAGCGTCCTCTGCAAGCATCGTTGGGACCAATATGCATCAAAACAAAAGATGCATGTTTGTTATTATCATATTATTGGAAACTGTAATAATGAATAATACAATTTGTACATCATAATTTGCAAAGAAGGACCTATATGCATCAAAACAAAAGATGCAAGTTCGTTATTATCATATTATTGGAAACTGCAATAATGAATAATACAATTTGTACATCATCATTTGCAAATTCTTTTACAGATTAGTGAGATGGTAAAGAGAGAGTGAGAGTTTTATTTTTTAGTGAATTGGTAAAATTTTTACTCTCTATCATATCATCTGTTAGCAAATAAATTTTTAATTTGAGTCTGGTAGGTAGACATTAAAATAAAAGTTTGTAGAAAAATGTGACCGTTAGTGGGCCAACCTAGGACCCACCATAGAGATAAAAAGTCAAGAAAATTGGTGGGAATATGAGCCCAACGGCTCTTTTTTTCATTTTAATGCCTACCAAACGGAGGCTAAGGAAATTTGCAATAGAAATTTCAAACCTTTCATAAATATACTATTAGGTCCCCAACCTTTTAATCTTAGAATTTACATCTCAAATCTTTTAATAAAAGCATTCTCTAGAAAACGCTGATCTAGTGCAGGTCAGTGGGACATAATTTCTTTAGTCACAGCATTTTTTCTTGAATGAATAGATATTATGTCTAGTACTAGTCTCTTGATATTGTCATGTGATGACCCACCTTCATGAATGCTATCATTGGCCAACCTTGAATTCTTCATCGTTGACTCCTTGCATTCTTCAATCTTATTCTCCATGACATCTCTTACAAGTTTTTCCACCGTTGATCTGTCACACGTGTCCTTCATATCAACCCCTACTTTCCATACTTCACTCACACACCTACTGTTCACTTGTTGGTCCACAATCATGGGCCAACAAATCATGGGCACACCTGAAGAAATACTCTCCAGAGTAGAGTTCCATCCACTATGGGTCAAAAACCCACCTATAGCTTGATGGGCCAGAACATCCTCTTGTGGGGCCCAACTAACTATACAGCCCATTTCCTTAGTGGCCCTTTTCAGTTCCTCTGGAATCTTGTTCGGCCCATTATGGCCCAAAATCAAGTCGGGCCTAATGGCCCATAAAAATGGCTTTCCACTGTTCACAAGCCCATGCCAGAATTCCAACAATTGGTCATGCGACAATACAATTACACTGCCGAAACTAACATACAGTACTGATTTTGGGTGCTGAGAATCAAGCCATTTGATACAGGATTCATCCATCTCGATCAAACTTGATGAGTTTTCAGATGGAGCATCAATAATGACGGAGTTCAAGAGTGAGTGTAATGGACCAATTGTATAAACTGTAGGAAAAATAGACTGTAGATGAGTGATCATTGGACTTTCCAGTTCTTGAAAAGTGTTGAGTATGAGAGCAGAAGCTCGAGTCATTTTCGAGGCCTGGGCGATGTAAAACTGCAGAATCGGGCTATCGGGTTCTAGTTTGCAGATACTTGGAAGATCTCGGCGTCTTAAAACGTTTTCCAGCCCAGGAATGCAAGAAATTTGCTTGTCCATGTCTTCATTTCCTGTTAATAATTAAAATTTTAGTGAACATAATTTATCGTGTAAATTTTGTAGTAATAGGACAATCAGGCCGGGATACAGATATTGTGTCTTTCATTCAAAATTACTTTCTTTTTCCAATGCACGGTGCCTTCTCTCAGCTTTGTTGGATAATTGTCTCAAAAGTCAAAAGTTGGAAGACTTCTTTTGCAAATAATAAAAGGTATTTATTATATAGAAGACTTCTAATTTAAGTTGAGGACAGAATCCTGTTAGAATTTGATCTCCAAGTTATAGTCGATTTTGGAGTCATTATTTGAGTTTGAATTAAACTCTTCTACTTGGTTATTTGGTCCTATAAATAATGAAAGTATTTCATTATTTTGGTGTGTGGCCGTGTGACCTGAGAGAAGAATTACAAAGAAATAGACGGCAGATTCTAAGAAAGGAGGCGCAGGCTGCCTGCTGCTGCCTGCTGGTTTCTTATATACTATAATATTATATACATATACAAGAAACAAGTGATTGCATGGTGTGTGAGAAAGGCAGGAACAAAGGCAGAAAAGTCAAGAATTGTGGGCAGCCTTGGGAGTTTTATATATATATATATATATATTAAAAGGCGTAGCTGCTGGAGAGTCTATTGTTCTTTGTAATACTTTGGGATTAGGTTGGTGAGTGAAAAATTCTATATGATTGTAACAATTTGTCATATAGTGAAAAAGTTTTGACGGTCCATTTAAATTTGTGCGTTATATTCTTTATTTTTCCTTATTTGCTATTATTCTCCTGAACAACAAAAGATCATGCGGGTTAAATAGAAAAGGAAAATTGGTGTGAAATTTCCCAACAAGCTTGTAGTGTAGATTAAGGTTGGCCCATTGTGCTCAATAAACCTTTCAGCAGTGTGTTATGTGTTTTTAATCATTAAAAAGTAAAGTTTAGGTACACAACTTATTAGAATTTATGAACTTAGACATTAAAATCGCAGGTAACTTTCATTTAGTTTGAATATAAAGTTTAGGTGTTTACATTTTTGTCCTCTAACTATGAATCACGTGAAAGTTACGTGCAATTTTAACGTCTTACATGATTTCAATCATTTCGAAATCTAAATTCACCAATCTAAATAGGTCGGGGACCCGAAATGGCCCTTTAAAGATTAAGGTCTCTTGAACATACCATGTGAAAGGAGCTTAGCCTAATTTTTCCCTAATTGTTGTTACCATGACATGTTTTGAGCTAACTTAGACAGTACTGTTAAAGAGTTGTCATCAGTATTGTTATTAATAAATAGTTGTTATCATCATCAGTGATGTGATTTGTCATCTAAAATCCTACATTTAAGATGAGAAATCAATTAAAACCATCTAAATATTTACCAAGGCCATGTTTGATTGCAACGAATTCCATGAAAAATATTACATACGAGGAAAACAAATTTCACTTTGACCGTTTGATTGCAACGTTGAAATGGAAACCGTATTCCAAAGTATAACCAGTTTAAACTGCATTTTCTTATAGATTTTGTGAATTTTTATTTTCCAACTATCATGAAATTGTAATTCCTTTCCACATTTTCCTATGAAACGGACAATAAATATACATTGAATATGGAATTTGAGTTGATGAGCTTAGTCTTTGGCAATTCACACGGTGCAGTGGAGATATTCTATTGATGAATGAGCAATGCTACACTCACAGCATTGTTTACATCAATTTTGACAGCACACTCACATATAAAGGGGCCCACCATTATTTTATTCATGTAGGCCCCCCCCCAACATGTGAGGGGGCTGTGTACATTACTGTGAACCAGTAATGTACAAATGGAAAAATCCATTGATGAATAGCATCAGTATTACTCAAAACTAAAAGTTTAAAAACCTATGAAGTTCCAACCATTTTTTACTACGGAGAGGAGAGATTAATAGGTTCTATTTTATCATTATCATAATTAAAAGAAAGATTTGTACCTTGAAGCACTGGAATTTCTCCATTTTGGATGAGCTTCTGAAGATGAAAATAAACCCAAGTACAGGTTGCACTGTAAGTCCGGAACGTGATAACAGGTATTCCAAGCTCATCGGCAACATCAACTGCAAATGACATAATCCCATCTGCTATAATACATGTCGGTTCCTGGCTAAGAGAAACAATTAGATTCCTGAATTCCGGCTTGCTCACTGAACTAGTAGAAAAGAACAAGTCAACGGCGGAGGGTCCAGCCCGCGGATGCTCCGGCTGAAGCCCGTCTGGAATGGACATGAACTGGAGTGTCGGAAAGCGGCGGCTGAAGGCGGGTTGATCGATGAGGTTGAGAAGCCGGCGGTGGTTGTGTTCAGTGTTGACGAAGGTGATGTTGAAGCTGCCGCCGTGGCAGAGAAGTTGAGCTAACACGAGCATGGGTTTGATGTGGCCTTGTGCAGGGAAAGGCAAAAGCACCACATGAGGAGCATCCATGGCGAAAAGTCTTCTGCCAATTTTATTCTGCTTGCCAAATGCCCTGTAAAAGCTTGTTTGTCTCTCGTTATTGGGAGAAAATTAGTGTAATGAATAGTATTTTTTTGAGAATGTGTGGTTAAAAATTAAAGTAACTTTATTGATTTGTGTGTAGAATATTTTATTGGGTAAATGTGTGGTGGAGAATCTTACTGTAACAAACAATTTTTTGAATTAATGGTAGATAAACACGGGCCAAATATGGAGATGTGCATGTGGTTAGAGTTGTGCTCGATGTGGTGTATCATGGGTGACTACCTCCTCACAGTGGGTGGGGCCCGCAACCCACTTTGTGATAGGGAGGGGGCTGCATGTGGTTAGAGTTGTGCTAGATGTGGTGTATCATGGGTGACTACCTCCTCACAAGGGGTGGGGCCCGCAATCTTAAAATCGCGGGCCCCACCCCCTTTGTGGAGGGGGAGAAGGCTGTCAACAAGCATTATTCATGTGGTGGGGGACTTGAACTGTGTTTGGATTATATTAAAATTTTTATTCTCATTTTTTTACTTATTTTTAACAATAAATTTTTTAATAAAATAATATTTTTTATTACGTCGATAATTTTTCTTTTTTTTTTCAACTACACATTCTTTATCAATTTACTATTTTAAAATATATTCTTTTAAAATAACGTGATTCAAACTCACAATGTGAAATGATAGATATGATGATTTGATTAGGAATAGACAATTCGAAATGGAGTGGTTACAACTTGCATCAGAAAGATGGTCAACAGGTAAGGACAAAAGGTGGGGTTTGGCTTCCAAATATTAACTACAATTCAAGTACAACTCTTCCCTTGGACACGTTGTGTGGCCTATTAATTGATAAATGTAATTTTTACATTTAATTAATTCGTTAACTTAGAATAAATTTCTTATTACTTTTAATAAATTATAGCATAATGTCGTATATTTATCGTTTGTTGGGAACAACTCAATGAATGACATGAATTAGACAAAATGAGCGAAAAATTAGCTAAAATGGAAGAAATTCAAAGTTCGGAGATCAAAGTGTAAATATTCAATAATTAATTTGAACTAAAAATGATGATTGAAGACCACATAGCATCAATGGATGCAATTAGAAGACAAAATAATGAAGTATTGAAATATAATCAAAGTATTTTAGTATTTTCACCAATCCATATTTTCATCCGTAAATTGAGACCCATTTTTCGTATAATAAATGTTTGAATTGAAAAAACGATATTTATAAATAATTGTAATCCTTTGAGTTAGCTCTCCAACTCACTTTGAATCATCTCAATTGAACATTAAAAGAAAAATATGACAAAAATATTGACGATTGCGCAGAAACATAACCATGCGTGACGAGAACGCAACTTTCTTTATTTGATCGAAACTCCTTTGAAATCCAATTAGGACATATTTCTTTACCTAATTTCACCTCCTATAAATTCAAGGAATTTCTAGTATCTTAATACAAATTTAATGACACTTAATGACACATTAATGTTTTTCATATAATTGGACCTTTCATTTACTGAAACTTAGCGCCGGTGTTTTAACACCAATGATACTGTTGACCCCAAAAAATGAGTCAACAGAATCCCTGTCACGTTCGCTCCACGTGGACCTCTCCTTTTGTTAGGAAATGAATCGCATATACATAGAAGTTAAAATGGGCCAAGTAGGCCTAATGGGCAGCACCCGAGCCCAATATGAGATATTTTATGGATATAACAATAGTCCCTCAAGTATGAGTCGTATATTCATGTGCGAGTCGGACTTTGAAATATAAGCTGTCAGTATGTGAGGTCTTACAAATTACCCCAAAAAATGTAAGTAACTCCTACAAGAGAAGAATTACAAACTGCCTTGAAAATATGCTTCGGTCCCAAATAGGCGAGCAACTTCAATAAATCAGGACTTACGATTTGCTTTAGAAAATATGCGTGCTAGCCTGAATAAGCGAGGGCTTACGAATTGCCTTGAAAGATAAATACTGCATATAATTTCTCAAAATTTTGACAGCATCTCCTCTGTAATATGAAATAAACAAATCATCTAATACAATACAATATTTCCATTGCACATATAGCAAATAAATTTGGTGTCCATTTGCCCATTAAATTACTCATGACGATAAAGTGAATAATAACATTTTAAGTTTCTCCGAGATATAATATGCGTCATAACTTGCTAGCAATGATGTGAAGTACGTACTCGGCAGCAATAATATAATGCATCTGCTAGCAATAATAATGTAATGATACTAAGATACCAGCATCACAATAGTCCCCCTAAGTCTGAGTCAAATATTTGTTAAATAAATAAAATTCTTTTAGGTCCATGTACTGGTGTTATTTACTTCATGCACTTACTGCTTATGTTTAATGTATTGCCATGCTCTTCAGTATAATCCGAACTTAGTCCACTCCAATAATAATATCAAACTCATAGTCTTGTATAAGTGTTAGAAGGTCGTGTACCTTTACAAGTTTTTGAGCATATGCAAATCAATGTTTATGAACTGAGGCTCTTTAGCACTTCAGACTTTAGTCTGACTTTATTTATAATTTGCACAAGTATAAGCAGTTCGCTTGTCTTTCTTTTCCTATGCATGGGGTTAAGTGGATCATCCATACTGAGGCTTCGTTAACAACTTTAGTTGTTCAAGGCATATGCCACACTTCGCGAGCGTAGATGTGGTCCTTTTTGGAATCCATCTATTCATCAAAGTGTCCACGAATCTTTTCATAGGGACATATCATCTATAAAGAAGCTTCCCCTTTGATATTTGTTAATATGAGGTACTTTATAATTTTTTTACGAGCTTGCTTTAATAAGAGTATTTTTAACTTTCCTGAGTATGAGTTTGAGCGGTTCGCCCATGTTGAGACTTCCTTAACAACTTTAGTTGCTAAAGGCATGTGCCATACTTAGCAAGTGCACATGTGGTCCTTCTTGGGATTCAACTCCTCGTCGAAGTGCTCACACGTCTCTTCATAGGGACATATCGTCTATGAAGAGGCTTCCCCTTTGAGCTTTCTCAATATGAGGATCTTTTTATTATTTTTGAACTTGTGCAAATTTAATTTTTCAAATTGCGAACTTTGTTTTCTGAATGAGGACTCTAAGATAATGCCACATCTTCCTTTATTCAAGGAATGAGGATTGCCTCTTCCTTTATTCAAGGAATGAGGAAAATAAACATCCCGGAGCTTATAAACTAGCCTCGGAATGGTAAGGTCTTACAGTTGGGTTGGCCTCAGAATGACGATATCTTATAGTCGGGCTCAACAATAGTGCGAGGAGAAGAATAAACATCTCGCAAAGCCAGGGATAAGTGTCTGGCAGGGCGGGGAATAGACATCCCGCGAATAGCTCTCGAACTATCGGAGTCTTATATAAGAGGGCATCGGATAGACGAGGGGGTCTTACAACTAGGCTCTTCTTCCTTTATTCAAGGAATGAGGAAAATAAACATCCCGGAGCTTATAAACTAGCCTCGGAATGGTAAGGTCTTACAGTTGGGTTGGCCTTAGAATGACGATATCTTATAGTCGGGCTCAACGATAGTGCGAGGAGAAGAATAAACATCTCGCAAAGCCAGGGATAAGTGTCTGGCAGGGTGGGGAATAGACATCCCGCGAATAGCTCTCGAACTATCGGAATCTTATATAAGAGGGCATCGGATAGACGAGGGGGTCTTACAACTAGGCTCAACAATAGTGCTACCGGAGTCTTATAAATTGACTTCAGAATGATGAGATCTTACAATTAGGCTCAACGATAGTGAGTTAATAAAGTCTCGACCTATCGGAGTACTATAAACTGGCCTCGGAATGACGAGGTCTTACAATTAGGCTCAACGATAGTGAGAGGTGAGGAATAAACATCTCGCGAAACCATGAGTAAGCATCTGGGAAGCGGGGAATAGACATCCCATGAATAGCTTTCGAACTATCGGAGTCTTATAAACTGACCTCAAAATAATGAAGTCTTATAGTTAGGCTCAACGATAGAGAGAGACGGGGAATAAGCATCTCGCAAAGCCAGGGATAAGCGTCTGGCGTGGCGAGGCGAGGCGAGGCGAGGCGAGGTGAGGAATAGACATCCCGCTAATAGCTCTCGAACTATCGGAGTCTTATACAAGCAGACCTCGGATAGACGAAGTCTTACAGCTAAGCTCAACAATAGTGCTATCGGAGTCTTATAAACTTGCCTCGGAATGACGAGGTCTTACAGTTACGCTCAACGATAGAGAGATGAGAGGAATAAGCATCTCGTGAAGCTAAGGATAAGCGTCTGACGAGGCAGGGAATAGACATCCCGCGAATAGCTCTCGAACTATCGGAGTATTATATAAACGGGCCTCAGATAGACGAGATCTTACAGCTAGGCTCAACATTAGTGCTATCTGATTCTTATAAATTGGCCTCAGAATGATGAGGTCTTACAATTAGGCTCAATGATAGTGAGAGGCGAGGAATAAGTATCTCGCGAAACCAGGAGTACGCCTCTGACGAGGCGGGGAATAGACATCCTGCAAATAGTTCTCGAACTATCGGAGTCTTATAAGTAGGCATCGGATAGATGAGGTCTTACAGCTAGGCTTAACAATAGTGCTATTGGAGTCTTATAAACTGGTATCGGAATAACGAGGTCTTATAAGGCTTAACGATAGTGAGAGGCGAGGAATAAGCATTTTGCAAAGTCAGGGACAAGCGTCTGGCGAGGCAGGGAATGGACATCCCGCAAATAGCTCTCAAACTATCGGAATCTTATATAAGTGAGCATCAGATATACGAGGTCTTACAACTAGGCTTAACAATAGTGTTGTTGGAGTCTTATAAACTGGCATCGAAATAACGAGGTCTTACAGTTAGGCTCAACGATAGTGAGAAATGACTAATAATCATCTCGCGAAACCAGGAATAAACATCTGACGATTTGACTCTTCCTTTTTCAAAGAACGAAAACTTACAAAATATGCTGCCTCTTCTTTTATTCAAGGAATGAGGACTTCGAAAAATACTGCATCTTCATTTATTCAAGGAACGAGGTCTTCAAGAGATCACATCTTCCTTTATTCAAGGAATGAAGACTTCAAAAAATACATAAAAAGGATGTTGTAGAACAATTACATCGTTCCATGTTCTATTCTTGCAAATTGTGGAAAACTATTTGAACATCCACATAAATCAAGTGGCATAATTATTTAAAGTTAGCAGGTAGTAAAAGAATTTGGTTTCATAGAAATCCTGCTATAACATTAAATCTTGCTACACTATTAGCTTTGCATGATATTTAAATCCCAGTGGCAAGTGGTAAATGAAAATTCATGTAGAGCAAACATAATTTTGCAAGTCAATGTCGGATAAATAAGTGGAATTTGATGGTTCTAAAATGAAGGCATGCACGGCCTCCAAATTAGCTTGAGTTGAAATTTTCAAGTGAGCCTTCACTATTAATAAAATTCCAAGTTTCCATGTCATGCTACTTAGTTATGGTAAAACAACAATAAATGGAGTGCCTCAGAATAATACTCACCATTGAGCAATAGATTTGAAAAGGGGACATGCAAGGCAACAAACAGAATCAACGTGCATAACAAATCTTGCAAGTCTTTAGTTGGAATTACAATTTGTAACAAACCAATACAACCCAATGAACCCAAATAATTTAGATGAGATAATTAAAAGAAACATGGGGCATGAGCCCAATCCAACATAGGAAAGCCCGTAAAATTTTTTAAACTTTTGACTTTGTAGAATGGACCCAAGGAAAATAAATTAGTGGGCTCGTGTTATATAACAGTTAGCCCAATTCCACCTGAGCCCATCATTCAAATAGGTCTGAATTCTAGTACCAATTTAGTATAGAGGTAATTAGGCCCAGTACCCTAAAAATGAACCAATTTGATAAATGCTTTAATAACTAATTAAATCACTTAAGGATAGTAATTAATATGTTATAAAATCCAAAACCTATATCTTATCCGACCCCCACTGTAAACAGCAAGCACCATTTCATCCACCTAAAACCCTCAACTTCTCGCAAAATTCATCCAAAATCACAGAGAAATTGCAAAATGTCGATGATTCCGAGCTTTTCAGCCGTCAATCAAAGTTTTATGACTCATATCGTCTCCTTTTTGGACTCTTCTGACAAGATTAAAACACTCTCTGTGTTCGAGCTAATTTCCAATAAAAGCTATTCTCTTTCGGTTCCGAGAATGTTTACTCCCCCTTATTCCCAGAAAAATTTGTCGGGGTTCGTCGAGAAAGCTTGAGAGTTAAAGGCCAAGGGAATGGATACAATTGCGCACATTTCTGTTGATGATGAGTTTGTGATAAAAGCCTAGGAGAAGGACCTGAATATTGGCGATGAGCAGATGAGGTGGTGTTATCGAGTGATGGGAAAGGGAATTTTACCAAGGCTAGGTTGTGAGCGGGATTTGAGTGATAAGCCTATTGGATTGGGAGTTATATCCACGAGGTATGCTATGTATGTGGAAGATAGGGTTGTGAAAATCTTGAATTTAATTTGGAGGAAGATGACGCCTTCAAGGTCATTTAAGGGTAATTTTTTTTTCTCCCCGTGTTTATTTGAATTTTTCAAGCTGAGTTTTCTTTGACTATGATGATGATGAGAATGACGTCTATATGAATAAATGTGGTAGAGTCCCATAGACATTCAAATGAAATCCATGGGCTATGTTTCCTCTGAGTTGGAAATTTATAGTTTTGAATGAAAGCTGTTTGGCTTTTCGATTATGTTGCCTCATTAATTAGGAATCTTATATTTATTGCACTGTTTAGTTCAACTGTCCTTGCAGAGATAGATTTATAAATGTAGATTATGTATGGTCTTTATATGAGTTTTGAATGTGGATAATGTGTAGATTACTCTTTTTTTTTTCCTTTTTTTAAGGGGGTGTTTGTTTGAAATTTTTAGGGGAAGAATTGATTTTTGAATAGTGATATGATGGGAAATGTGTGGTTGAAAAAAAAGAAAAAAAATATTGATGTGATGAAAAATATTATTTTATTAAAAAATGTGTGGTTGAAAATGAGAATTTAAAGTACTGCGCAAGGGAAAAATTGCACTATTGGTCCAGTTCAAGAGTGCGTTTGGCAGAGATTTTCAGGGGAAAAATTAATTTTTAAATAGTGATATGATGGGAAATATGTGGTTGAAAAAAAAGAAAAAAAATATTGATGTGATGAAAAATATTATTTTATTAAAAAATGTGTGGTTGAAAATGAGAATTGATTTACTATAGAATTTGAGAATCTCAAACAAACAAGCACTAATTCTGAAGTCTCTATGTTTAGTAAAATAAATTATTGTGACTGTGTCCATATGGTGAAAGAGTTTAAAACTGAAAGTTTTTAAGAGGACTCGTGCTGGCATTTGAGGTGATCAGGTGACTAAAGAAAGATTGATTCCTGAGGATGGAATTGATGAAGAAGAGGAGATCGAAGAAGAGGAGGATATTGAGAGCTAGCTCAATGTTCTTGCAAGGAAAAATTCGACTCCAATTGTTACAGAAGGAGGAAGCATGTGAATTTCGTCAAAAGATTGTCACTTTTTTTTTTTTATTTGTGCTTTTAAGAAGATAAAAAAAATGAAATAATATGTTTTATTTTCCTAACATTATCAGCATATGGATTGACCTGAACGTAGTGATTATTTTAAGAACGTGATTACTGATGCTGCTCAAATGGATGGTGCTATTTTGATATTTGTCATTTTTTTTTTATAATTTTGTCACTTTTTTTTAAAAAAAAGTGACATTTTTTTATAAAAAAGTGGCATTGTGTCATTTTTTCATTTTACCCAGTATTTTTTACTTTTCTAAAAACTTTTCATATGATTTTTCAAAACATCCCTAATTTTAAGGATATTTTTGTAAATACCCTTTTAGTATATTTTCAATCCATTACAAAATTATTTTCACGTCTTTGGCAAAATGTAAATTGTTCCTGTTCACATTTGATATCTAACCAAGTGGCAGTACAATTAGGTTGGATTAAAAGGGTAATGCTCACATAATTCACATAATTACACGTGGCATGTGATCCTGCCTTTAATTCAACTTTCACACTTACACATCAATAAGTGGATGATTGCCACGTCACCATTATATGAACCATTATGTAGAGAGTTATGTACAATTAGATTAATCCGCATTAAAAAGGACAGCAACTTGTCAGGTTGTCAACTTCCCACAGCAAAAAGTAAAGCCAACAGAAGGAAGGAATGCACTAGGCCGTCGGCTAATCTGCTTTTTAGCTTTGATAGAAGCAAAATGACAGCACGATAGTGGCCGAGTTTCTGATTTTCACGACGGTTGTTAATGGAGACTCCACTGTACTTCAGCCATCTTAATAAACGCGTTAGCTACCAGATGTTGTAGCTGCTAGAATCGCCCATTTTGACTGGAACTATGAAATAACCAGCAACGGTTGAACATGCTTCTTGGATTTGTTGACAAGAGGTAGAAAGGAAACCGAATCTAAGAATGGAAACCATCAAAAGGGTGTCTTTCCTCCCCAAACTTTCTTCCAATTACTATTATTTGTTTCTAGTTTCATCTGTATTTGCGTAGCATAAAAACCATTTAGAAAATCCTTTTGAGTGGCCAAAGCATTTTGGCTTCCAGTAGCCATTTACACGATCGATTTCTTCAACGTTTGCTGGGAAACTCCTTTCTTCAAGGGAAAATTCAAAATGTTTCCAGTGACCTTTTCTTTTTTAATTTCTTTTCATCTCTTGGAGGTTGTCCCAACTCTTTTTTTGTAGAGAACTGCCAGGAAAAACAAAACTATATTTTCCGGTGATTTTTTGGTACGTGGTAGAATATGGTTAACTTACTATTTCTCATAGAAGTCGTCAATCTGTTGACCCCAAAAAATTAGCCAACAGAATCACTGCCACGTACTCTCCACGTGAACCTCTCCTTTTGTTATGAAATGAATCGCAAATATATAAAAGTGAAAATGGGCCAAGTGGGCCTATTGGGCAGGACTCGAGCCCAATATGAAATATTTTATGGGTATAACATATACTAAATAGCAGGATTCACTTTTTCTTGAAACTATCTTATGGGACGTGTGCTCGTTCTTGATTTATTGTGCTATTTGATGCATATTTCGGTGCTTTTTAGTAATAATTTAGCTTTAGTTGCTCTGGATCTGTGAACTGGAAACATTAATCAGCTTGCAAATTTCATAAAGAGTAACTGGGACCTGATTCCTGACAGCTAAGAAAATGAGTGGAGATGTAATGCCATGTTATCTATCACAAACTTAGATCCTGAATGTGTAGAAAATGGCTAGGGACATGGGCCAGAGTCGAGAGCAGAGGAGTTCAATGTGACTACAAAACTCACATAGTGTCGAGGAGACTCTATTGCCCTCAGCAGATAAAAGTTAGTTTCAAGGCAAATATAAGGTTTGACACCCATTTGGCAAGCCATATATTGATCAACATTGTGAATTGAGATAGGGTACAAGTATTGAGCTTGTCGAGCATATGTCAAGTTTACCAGGCTTTCTGCAGCAAGTGGAGAAGCAGGAAAGTATTCCAGAGAAGGCTTTGAGCTTTTTGATTGGAAGCGTTTGGAGAAATGGAAGTACAATGTATACCTACAAATTAAAAAGTAACCATTGTTCAGTAGTTCAGTGTTTAGGGCAAGTGAACCTCGTTCAAATCCCCGAAAACTACCGTAATCACATGGTTTGAATCCCAGTTCAATATATAAAGGAGAACAATCCCCATCACGTAGTTCGTGTTTTAATCCATTGCCTCCCGGTAAACAGCTTTCATCGCATATTTCACGGGATAACTTGTCTGAAGGAGGAAAGAATAAAGGTGTCAAACGGTACAAAGGAAAGGGCTGCAGGGCACATGGATTGAAGAAGTTCAAGCCTCAAGGTCCCAAAGTAGCATCACCTTTGATGGTTTGCAGGACAATTTCTCTGAGAAAATAGTCTAATGGTGGGAGTTGTTTAAATTTTCATCTTCTGTGTAATCTTCTGCTCTTTATTTGTGTTTTATCCATCCAGTTCTCTTCCAAGTGCGAGGAATTTGTCTCAAAAGGAAAAAAAAATATATCTTCAACACGATACAAAACAACACAGAAAGTTTTCTAATGGCGAAAGTACCTCTCAAAAATTCACATCCAAAGATGTATAGTTCATTCAAGAACAAGTGGAAAATACGTAGATTCAAAGACTTGACATACAGAAGTGTCACAGCTAACCAATGTACATGCATATTAATTGCAATTTTTTGTGAAAGTCGAAAGTGTTAAACAAATCAAATGTCACAATGATTACAGTAATGATCTATTTAAATAAAATGTTTATGCCAAAATCTCCATTTCAAGGTGGACAAAATCAGTCTACAACATTAAGCAAAAAAAAAATGCACAATTCAAATATGATCAGTCGAATCACAATCATTTTAAAGATTCGAAAGTATGGGGAGTAGAAAAAAAAAAAAGAATGCACAATTAAAATATTAACATTACAAAAAAAAAAATATTACAATAAATAGAAGGGGAGTAGCAAAAAAAAAAAAAAAACACATGAATAATTAATGTGTTTTTATCATTATAAAAATAACAAAGATCGGACTCACAACTTCATTCCCCTTTCAAGCCTATATATAAATAAAAAAAGCTTCGCTAAATAAATTTATTTATATATTGGCTGAAACTTGAAGTTGGGTCCGATCACAAACTTATCTAAAATTAAATATTTTTTTCGCTCCGACGAATTATGCGGAGCCCGAATGGACAATACCGGAGCTGGAGGATCGTGCTCTCAATACAAGTGGACCAGGGATGCGAGCAAGCCTACTGAAAGCATCACGATCACAAATATAATTGAAATATATTCCATTGCCCTAACAAAAATATAAAACCACACAAATGACCAAATTAGATAAAAATACACTTAATTGGAATAACATTTTGCATACAAATTTAAAAGATGATTTTCGAAATCTGATGCTGAGGCAATGATTTATTGGGAAGTTTTGTTTTTGATTTTGTGAAATATTAATTGCATTTCTCTTTGAATCCGAGTTTGCAGTGCTTTAAACAATATATTGTGAGTTAGTTCATTTATTGTGAATTTCTATTAAATTTTCCACAAAAAATTATATGTTTTTTGTGAGTTAGTTTGCAGTGTTTTTTCCTCTCTTCCTATGCAATTCGTGCTGTGAAATTTGCTTCATATAATTTAAAAAAAAAAAAATCATTGCCTCAACATCAGATTCCGAAAATCATCTTTTAAATTTGTATGCAAAATGTTATTCCAATTAAGTGTATTTTTATCTAATTTGGTATTTTGTGTGGTTTTATATTTTTGTTAGGGCAATGGAATATATTTCAATTATTTTTGTGATCGTGATACTTTCAGTAGGCTTGCTCACATTCCTAGTCCACTTGTATCGAGAGCATGATCCTCCAGCTCCGGTACTGCCCATTCGGGCTCCGCATAATCCGCTGGAGCAAAAAAGATATTTAACTTTAGACAAGTTTGTGATCGGACCCAACTTCAAGCTTCAGCCTATATATAAATAAATTTATTTAGAGAAATCTTTTTGATTTATATATAGGCTTGAAAGAAAGTTTGTTACTTTTTATAATGAAAAAGTTTGTTACTTTTTATATATAGGAAAATGAAAAAAAGTTTGTTACTTTTTATAATGAAAAAATGATAAAAACACAGTGTGTTTTTGTTGTTTTTTCTTTTTTGTTTTTTGCTACTCCCTTTCCATTTATTGTAATATATATATATATATTTTTTTTTTGTAATGTTAATATTTGAATTGTGCATTCTTTTTTTTTTTCTACTCCCCATACTTTCGAATCTTTAAAATGATTGTGATTCGACTGATCATATTTGAATTGTGCATTTTTTTTTTGCTTAATGTTGTAGACTGATTTTGTCCACCTTGAAATGGAGATTTTGGCATAAACATTTTATTTAAATAGATCATTACTGTAATCATTGTGACATTTGATTTGTCTACTGAGTTCCATCTTAAAAAACTAACCTTATTAAAATGAGTAATACAATCTTTTATAAGTTGGTTTATGTTTACATCTTTATTCTATGTGGATTCTATCCCTTAACATCCCCGCAAGATGGTGGCTCATTTGAGCAGACCAATCTTGAAATCCGTATGCTCACTTTTGGAGTCTTAATCGGATCGAATTACTCGTTAGAGCTTAATGGGCTCTGATACCATGTTAAGAACTGATGTTCCATTTTAAAAGGTCAACCTTATTAAAAAGAGTAATCAAATCCTTTATAAGTTGGTTTATGTTTACATCTTTATTCGATGTGGGATTCTATCCCTTAACAGAAAGTATGACTCAGGGAAGTCTATACAAGCGATAACTCAACCGGTATCTACCAACTAGTAAGTGTATTTTTGCTAGTCTGCAATCATCTTCAGAGGCTTCCTGGTCTTGTAAACGGTTAACGATATTTATGATGGGATATTAAAGTGGAAAAGCCAAGATATGACAAAAGCAAATACCATGCTAGCAAGAAGAAAATTCAAAAACCGATGACCATTTAAGCAACTTCGACTGTCTGTAGAAGGGGAAGCTGGAGTTGATGATGTATTTGTTTCGACAGCATTAGTTTCATTTGTTTGTTGTGCTCCCTCAGTACTATTCGGGCCAACAATGTTGCGCGCAATTGAATTACATATTTCGCAAGTCCTGGCAAAGACAAGCAACATAAGAAATTTGGCGGTAAATTAAAGAGAGCAGAAGAAACAATGAAATGATATGTGTAAACAAAGTCAGCGTAGAAGATTTGTCGTCATTCATGAAAACACTACACCTTAACTTCTTGCGAGGTTCATGCATCCTCAGTGTAGTTAATATTGATCAAATTTTAAAGAAAAAGGGTCTCTCATATTTAACTCCATTACACAACTACATGTTCTGTTTATTTTCACATCCAACCAAAACACCTTGACTTCATATTTATGCACAATACCATAAAATTAAGTGGCATAAGATTGAATAATGTAGGCTAAAAATCCTAATGAAAGGCCTTGACGCCATAAATGCATAAGATTAAATAATGGATAAGGAGGCAAGATCATCACTAATGAAGATACAAACTCCATAGCCGCCGCCCCCCTTCTCTTCCTCTTCTTGAAATAGATCAACTCCGTCTTCTCCATAAACCGGTTAGATAGCAAATTTTTATCATCTTAGAGGATCTCAACCAGCTTCATGTTGATAGGGATCCCAGCAATTTTTATCATTACGTTTTCGAGTTTCTTATCATTAACTACACTGGCACTTATAGAAATAACTCTGTTATTAATTTGTAAATAAAGATACTGAGAGTAAAGACTAATCAAACCAGTGCCAACTGTCATAGAAAAGGAAAGAAAAATAGCTGATGTACTTCATTCACAGATAGAAACATATAATCCCATTTATGGAACACCTTGTGCATAACAAGTGACAATACTTGTATGAATATTAACAAGCAGATTCAGCATCACTTCGAAACGAAAAGTTCCATTACGAATTTATGGGCAGATATTTCTCTTAAAAATCGTAACGACGAAATATTCAAAAAGCAGGACCAGAGAACATCATTCTTTTCGCACAAAACGAACTTAGAAAAAGAATAGAAAGAGAATCCCAAGAATGAGCTAGCAGATAAAATTCATTGAAAACATTCCTCGGTGTTACTAGAAATTTAAGCAATCCTTCCAACTGCTTTATTCTTTTGCTTTACTTTTTCCTATCACCTCAATGACACAATTTTGGTATCTTTATTATCAAAACAAACCAACCTTGTGCAGTACCAATAAACTATACGGAAAACAGTCAAAGCACACAGAATTATCGTAGGAATATTAGGTCGATTTGAGGTTGAAGGTAAGTGTACATTAGGATTAAGCTACACTCTTCAAGGACTAACTGGAGAAATCTAAGAGGCGCTGAGATGGAGTCTTATTATAAACACAAATCTTAAAATGCAAAACAAATTTCACATGATCACGAAAATTAAAAATAAAAAAAAATCTCAAGCTTTAGGATTACTCACTTGTTCCCTTTAATTTTGAACCAAGTTTCTGCACAATGCTTATGAGCAGCAGCCAAATCATCCTTACAAGAACAGCCCAACTCAATGGCAACCCCAGATTCAGGGCTACTACTCACCAAACTCAAATGGCAAATCCTACAATCTCTCTCAACCGTCTCCAAATGCACCTTAATTTCTCGAAACCCACCATTTTCTATATCCACTGAACAATCAGAAGAATCAGAATCAGCCACTGATGAAACTCTCCTAGAATCCAAAACCTCGTCCTCCAAAATCTCACCGCACTTAGAGCCACAGGCAATGCTGTAATCATCATAAGAACCATCCCCATCAACGGTGGAGTAAAACTGAGAGTAACAAGAGCCCTCATCGGCGTCGGAGAAAAAAACGTTACCATCTTCTTCCTCCTCGACGCCGTCTCCGCCACCGCCGCATTCTAAGTCCACTTGGGATATTTCTGAAGTCGACATTATGTAGACCCAGAAGCAAAAAGCTGTGATTCAAAGTGGAAACAGTGTATTAAAGGCTTCAAGATTGAGTTCTTTAAAGCCCCCAGGCCCCAGTGAGTTAAATTCAGCAGCTTAACATCTGTCGTTGTATTATGTTCTCAGAGTATAATGTGAAAAATTAGTAGCCAGCATTGGATTAGGTGACCCTTTCAAGTCTCCTGGTGTGTCATAATTTTACTCTCTTTCACACACAACGGGAGAGAGGAAATTTTGAGCATTTGCGTGGAAATGCCTAGAAGTGACATGGATTTTAACTTTTAATAAGACGGCAAGGAACAACTGTTACATGGATTTTAACTTTTAAGACGGCAAGGAACAACTATTATGCAAGAGAGAGAAACACACTCGGAGAGTTCGAGGTTCGGAGAAATTAACAGATTGCTCTAAGACAAGACTCTATTTCACTCTCATTCTCTAAATTTTTTTTATTTTTTTTTCAAATTTATTTTCAATTGTATATTCTTTCAATAAAATAATGTGCAGTTCAATCGTATATTCTTTCAAAAAATAATAATATACATAGATCTTAAATATTTACCTACTTTTTAATCATATCTATATGAAATATCACAAATATATTTTTTAACCAAAAAAAATAGGGCTCAAACGCACTCTTATGCATGGTTATTAAAACTGGACCGGATTGATCGGCTCAACCTGAGAATCGGTGAACCGAACAATGATCCGTTCTGATTTGCAGTAATTGGTCTAATTACAAATGAACCAATCAATAACCGTTCAAACATGTTCGTCATTGCCTTAAACTGACGATTTTTAGTGGAAACCGGAACCGGTTCGGTTCTATCAAATTGGTCTAGACTAGAGTACAAAATTAATATATCAATTTTGCATGAGGACACATTCGAACCAACAATTCGGTAATTCCTTACATGAGACATTGGAACCATGACCACTATGGAACGCACAGAGTTGGGAGTGAAATTTATAAAATTCCCTTAACCAAAATGACGTAAAATAGAATATGTAATATATTTTTGCTTTAAAAAATATTAACAAATTAAAAATAAAATCTAGCAATGACCCACCAGTTGAACCATTAACCCATCGATTGAACCACTAACTCGATGATTTTTTCGAGTTAAGGATCGAGGTCGGATCTGATAACTATGTTCTTAAGTATAATTAGGGGTGGGAAAACTACTCTTCTAATCGATCCAAACTGTCAAATAGAGACTCGCGATGCTTTGGAGAAATATTGATTCTATTTGCCAGTTGGCCTAAGCCAATTTGAAATCCTTGATTTTGAAGGAGAAAAATCTTTTGAACTAAACAAATCAAACTGACATTGATTTTGGTTGATTTATTAGTCTTGTCAATCCGATTTTGTCTTGAGATTTCATTTCAACCGAAACATCAATTTGGTTGTCAGGTTCGATCCGAACTCACCTTGCCCCTATGTGCCTCATGTTTGAGACTAACAACCTAATTTCTTAATAAGAGCTCGTTTGGGAGAGATTTTTGGGGGAAGAATTGATTTTGAATAGTGATATGATGGGAAATGTGTGGTTGAAAAAAAAAGAAAAAATTATTTATGTGATGGAAAATATTATTTTATTGAAAAA